GCTGTGTAAAATGTGAACAAAAATGTGCAAATCTCATACTCATGTTTCATTCAAAATAAAACACACAAAACATATCAAATAGTTAAACTTTTAAGAAAGTGTTTAATGCATTGGTACGTCAGGGCTTCCTGTATTCATTTTCAACCTTGTCCCCTGAACACAGAGATTTCATCATATTCACTGAAGATGATCAGATATTTGAAGTCTTTGCAATTTTTCATCAAGGCACATTATTCTGAATTTGTTCCACAATATGTAGACACGGGTTTTTGCAGAATGGTGAACCTCATGTCACTGACCTGTTGCCAGATGACCTGCTAAGCTGCTAAATGTTCCTCTAGTTGGTTTGTTTTTCTGTAACACTTAGTTTTCCAGCCTTTCGGGATGCCCGCCCCAACTTTTTGGAGACGTGTTGCTAAAGTCAAAGCGGGCTAACATTTTCATGAAATAGTAAAATGTCCCAATGTAAACATTTGATGTGTTTTCTATGTTCTATTGTGAATAAAATATGAGTTCATGAGATGAATTATCAAAGACTATGCACAAAAACACTGATCTCATAAGAGAAAGGGTGCTGTTTATCAGATCGCGCTACTAGTTTATGTCCATCTACAGTCCCTGAACAGGTACACCCAAAAGATTAACCAGGCTGCAAAATATTAAATATAAACATCCACAGGACTAGCAATAATTTGAATAATATAATCAAATAGCCTAAAACCCTTCAATCAGTCCCACCCACAAGATACAAACACATTCATAAGTGCATACACCCCTTATTCAGTTATCTTTATTTTCCATTGTTAAAATTGCATCAGAAATTTAAACAAGTGACTAAATTTGCCATGATTTACATTTTTGCCATTCCCCCACCCTTACAAAAACAGCACTTCCTACCCATCAGCGTCTATCTCACAGTTTAGCTGGTAGGATAAACGTGCTGACCACAGAACATGTCAAAATGAGTTTTCCCGACTGGCAGAAAGCTGAGGATCCATGTAGCAGCAAATATACCCCATTTTCCAACTCATCCTCAGTCCCTCTCCGCTTATACCCATTCATAAGCCAGTCTGTCCACCCAAATCCATCTATGTCCACTTCCAGTCCCGGCCATCACTTTAAATTATGCTGCCTGCCAAGAGGCTTACTCTGTCACCTTCATGGTGATGGGGTGTAAGACAGAGGAAATAATGGGCGTGTGTGTGGGCGGATGCGTTAATGCCTCTGGGATTGAGGTAGGATGAATGATGA